GTAAATGGATATCTAGAGACTTCTTGCTGATGTTCTTTGTGGGTTTGAATGATAGAATTGATGATGGGGAATCGGAAATTGTTTTGTTGCAGGAAATTCATTTTTCTTTCAATTTTTCTGAAATTCAAAAAAATTCTCTAAGGAGCCATATTGATCCAAATACTTTCAAATTTTTACCACAACTTCCTTTATGCATTTATTATTTCTCCATAAAATTTTGTAATTTTTGGATCAACAGATATTTTTATAAAAATTCGAGAGTACCAGCTGTCCGAATTTTACATCTGCTGGAAATCAGATTTTAAATGAATTATTTGACCAACTTCTTGAGACTGGATCTTTATCAAAATTTCCATTTTTATACTTCCCTAAGTCTACTTTATTAAAATGAATTTATTTGAATTTTTCTTAGCTTCGGATATTTTTCAAACGAATGAAGTTTTCTGAAACACTTTATTTTCAGCATTCTTAGACAGCCATTTTCTTTCCAAAACCTGATTTTATCAGCAAAGCTTAAGTTGCTGGAATTGTAGTGACACATTTTCCTTTTAGTCTAGTTTTCAAATCATTTTCGTTTGCCCTGTTTCGATTAAAATCAAATTTTATACAAATTTTTGATTAGGCACTGCGCATAATTTTGGTCCAACAAGGATTGCTGTCCCAATTTCTTTTTACATCATAATTTATCACGTCTTATAAATTTGGGGCATGACACGTCTCCCCCTTCAAAGAGCCGACTCCAAGGGGTTAGGGAGCCGGCTAAGCCTGCTCTATGATTTTAGAGCAGGCTCCCTTGGTTGGGTTGTGTTTGGACGTGGTTTGGACACTGTTTGGACATTGTTTGGGCACCGTTTGGGATTTTAAATGGTTTTAGGGACTGGAATGGGAATTCTAAAAGTAATTACAATGGATTTTAGTCCCTCTAATGGTATAATTTGGTTCCTAGGGCAATTGGAAGAAACAGGGTAAAAATAAGCAACTTTGTACACTCTAACGGATAGGACGGATTAAATTGCTAAATCTTGTTTTAAAAATTTAACGGATTGTAGCATGGACTTTAAACATTATACCATGCTATATTAGAGCCACCTATAATAAATTTAGGTCTTAGTATTCATGGATTTAACCGTAGGGAAGTATACAACGGTTTAGGCGGTTAACTAATGGAAGGAGTTTAATTGTCTAATTTAATTTTAGCAATTGAACGGAATATGTATATATTTATAAATCTTATTTTGGTTGCATGCTAGGATCATTTAATTAACAAGTTTGGTCTATGCATAACTTGGATGTTAATGGTTGAAGTTCTAAATTCTTTTCTGGAATGTATGGATTTAAGCTTGGAATCTTAATTGCTATAATGTTAAGTAGTACACTGAAATGATTGGATTTTGGTTTGGACTTAAATTGTTGAACTAATACTTAACTTCTGTCGATCTAATTGGATGTTGGCCTGGAATTAATTGCAGAATTAATTATATATTTTCTGTCAAATTATCTGGATGGACGCTAGACTTTAACTTGATGAACTGTTTAACTTTGTCTTGCTAGTTACGTGAAGGGATTCTAGATTGCTAGTTGATTAACTGTTTAAATTCTGTATATCAACTATTTGGACTATGTGGATTTGATTTGTGAACTGCTTAAAATGTTGCATCATTTACGGATCATTTGCATGATATGAACCGGTATGGGACGGTGGCATACGGAGGGACGGATTAGGTCACAACGTTAATCCCTACCCATTCATACATAAGGAATAGATTAACTAAAACAGTGAAATCCTACATGGATGCATGTCCTGTCAACTAAAACAGTTGAATGACATAATGGATATTTGTTTTATCTTTCTGCACTAGGAAGGAATTTATATATATACTTATGATACTGTGATACGAGCTTGCGTCTCCTGATCACGGTTAGGGTGCGTATATCGCAAAGATTGGGTAGCTAGATATAGCTGATGTTCCCTGATAGGTCTAGGTACTTGGCCGCTGGAAAGTGTGTTTTTATGTCACCTTCTACCCAGGCTGAACTATGTTATAGGCTAGTGAGCATCCTATAGTGTGTGTATATATATATATGGACTATTTTAGATATTGCCGAGCTATTTAGGATGTATCTGCGTATCGGGTTTATGTATGGATTGTAATAGGATATAACTTGCATGTGGGTCTGACCCACCTTTATTTTTCAGGTGTTCGTGAGTACCAGGTTTAGGGCTTGATCGTGGCGATGCAAATACAGTCACTCACTCTTCCGACTACATAGGATTTTCTTTCTTATTTTGGTTTTGTTATTTTATTCTTAATTCAATTTTTATTCCTGCTTGTTTACATATTAATTGTCTGATATCCCACGGATCTGTGCTCGGACTTGATCACCCGTGGCTCTAGAATCGAGGGGTATCACATAAACAATTTATGCATAAAATAAAAATAAATAAAAATAAAAATAAAAACTTTATAAATGTCCCAACTTCTTAAAAACGTAGACGTCTATAATGATTTTTTGATCCAATACATATATTACAAAAAAATTATATTTTGTTATTACTTCTTTTCTTTTTCTTTTTTATTTTTAAATTAAGATGCTTAATTATTTCATCTAAAAAAATTAAACCAATCTCTTTTTCTTAAAAATAAAAAATATGATACCAGTATAACTTTATGCATCTTAAGTTATATATAAAATATTATGCACTTCCCAACATAAAAGTGGAAAAAAATAATAAAACAAAGGCATGTATAAAGTTAAGATGCATAAAGTTATACTGGTATCATATTTTTTATTTTTAAGGAAAAGAGATTGGTTTAATTTTTTTAGATGAAAGAATTAAGCATCTTAATTTAAAAATAAAAAAGAAAAAGAAAAGAAGTAATAACAAAATATAATTTATTTGAAATATATGTATTGGATAAAAAATCATTTTAGACATCTACATTTTTAAGAAGTTCGGACATTTATAAAGTAAATAAAAAAAAAAAAAAAAAAGAAAAAAAGAACAAGATAAAGTTTTTATTTTTTTTTTTTACTTTTTTTTATGCATGAATTGTTCATAAGGGTAGATTGGTCCAATTTATTAAATGGTAAAGTTAAAAAAGTCTCATAAACGATCAAATGGTAATTTGGTCAATTTCTCTTGTAAAGGGGTGTCTTTGTCTATTTTTCAACCTTCAGGGGGTGTCTTTGTCCAAAAAAATAGGTAAGTTTCCTCTGAGGGTCCTTTTGCCAAACCTCAAGGGTTTTGGCTGTACTTTACCCAAAAATTTAATAGATTACAATTTAAATTATTGTATACCTCCCTAAATGCATGCTATTTAAAAATTAAAAATTCAATCTAGTTTTCTCTAACCCTTTGACACAAATTGTTTCATTTTTTTTTTTATTAATTTTGTTTTGTTTTATTTTATTCCAGATTCTAACTAGTTGTAAACACATTCCAATTCTCATATGTCATAATAAGTCACATAAAATCTTTTTGTCCAGTTCTACTATAATAGCAAAAATTTATTGACGTAATGAGGAGATTCACGACAAAAATTTTTATTATTCTATGAAATTTCAAATTTCTCTTATAAATTAGTTGTTTTTCTTAATGTTTTCTTTAGTACTCCTATTATTATTTTATCATAGACATCAAAGAAAACAAAAATCCCGATTAGTGGTGGTGAGACGTTTTAGAGATAAAGTGATTTCTATTTTATTTGTTTGGTACTTACCTTTTATTACTGTAATTAATGGCATTGATAAATTTTAAATTTGTTTGGTACTTACCTTTTATTATTGTAATTAATGGTATTGATAAATTTTAAATTTAGAAACTAGAAATCGTGATAGAAGTTTTATATCAAAAGGAAAGTATATAGGTGGGTTTGGAATTTGACCATTAGATTTACACTATAGAAAGTGCGGAAGATTTTTCTTACTCTAAGGGGAGCAAGAGATCACTACTCACCCAACTAAGTATTGAAAATTCGAAATCTTGAAACAGTAAGCAACAATTATTATCCCGAACCAAGTCTTTACCAAATAATTACATTAAAATGCGGCACTTATAGCACAGTTTTATATCATTCACCAAACATTAATTTTTTGGGGGAAGGACATTTTAAGGCTTGAAAGCCCATCTTGAGACAGAGAGAGAACAATATACTAATTAATTGTGTCATTAATTCATTTGTAAGATAGATGATACCTTGGCTCTGTCCAAAGCCATTGTTAAAAGGAAAATACTAAGGACATGAATGAGGAGAGAGAAAATGGAGAGGAGAGAAGAAGGTCTGCAATGAGAGAGTGATATTTTATTTCAACTTGAAAAAGTGAGGCCGGCAGAATAGACATTTTTAGTAAGGCCGGCAGAATAAACATTTTTACAATGTCTTTCACAAATATTTTAGCGGACAAAAGTGTCGTCACAGAAATTTTAATGTCTACAGAATGGACATTTTCAACTTGATAAAGTGAGGCCAGCAGAAAATTAGTGAATATTATGTTTTGTATCTTTTGCTAATATGAGCTTCTTCCATATAATGGGAAAATTAATTATTCTTTAAAAGCCAATTAGGTTCACACGCATGTGACATAAAATTGGATGTCTGAACCTTAGTTGCAACAAATTGGTATTTTTGTTGCCAAAGTTGAAGCATTTTTGAAGATTGTTGGGTAAATTTATCTAAAAATAATAAATTAAAAATAGGGATAGCCTATTATTCTAACAAACTGTTTTCAAACGAGTAAAATGGAATTCCATATTAATTATAATCATGCATAAGAAAATAATTGCTAGCATACAAAAAAGCTTGTGGGCTCACTCATGCCTGCATATCATATCATAGGCCAATATCACTTTCAGTTAATTTTCAAATAGTAGTTTTGTCGGCAACTTTGACTTTCAGTTACTCATTCTTTTAGCATTCATTTTCTCAATCCTTTCAATTTCTTCAAGGCCTCATTCTACTGCTGCACAAAAAAACTATTCAGCATTCTCTTCCAAAGAAATGGCAGAAGCAATTCTCGCTGAAATTGTCAAGAAGTTGGGTTCCGCCCTTCTCCAAGAGGTGCGACTTGCTTGGGGCATGAAGGATGAAATTGAAAAACTCAGTGACACAGTTTCCACAATTGGAGCAGTACTTGTTGATGCAGAGTTGCAGCAAGACACAAACAAAGAGGTTGCAGACTGGCTCGAGAAGCTCAACGATGCATTTTATGATGCTGATGACGTGCTCGATGACTTCTCCACCCATGTTCTCCAACACCAGGTTACGACTCGAAACAAAAGGCTAAAGAAGGTACGCAATTTCTTCTCAAGCTCAAATCAGCCTATTTTCGTCAATAAGTTTGCTCATGATATTAAGGCCATTAGGAAGAGACTAGATGCAATTGCCGAAGATAAGAAAAAGTTTCATCTCACTGAACGATCTCTAAATCAGCTGCGAGTTGAGAATACTAAGAGGGAGGAGACTCACTCTCTTGTTCATGCAGAAAATGTTATTGGGAGGGATAGTGATAAAATGGAAATCATACAACTTTTATTGGAAAGCAACATTCAAGATCAAAATGTGTCAGTTGTTTCATTAGTTGGAATTGGGGGACTAGGAAAGACCACACTTGCACAGTTAGTATACAACGACGAGAGGGTCACTAAACATTTTGAACTTAAGATGTGGGTGTGTGTTTCTGACATTTTTGATGTGAAACTCATCACAGAAAAGATCATAGAGTCTGCAACAGGCAAAACACCAGAAAACCTTTTGATGGATAAATTGCAAGAAAAGCTTAGTGAAAAAATTACTGGAAAGAAATTTTTACTTGTGTTGGATGATGTGTGGAATGAAAATCGTGACAAATGGTTAAAATTGATAGATTTGATGATGGATGGTTCGAGAGGAAGTAAAATTTTACTAACTACACGGGCCGAGTTGGTTGCAAATGTTTCAGGGACAAATTCACTATTTTTTGTAAAAGGCTTGTTTGAGGAGGAGTCTTGGTGTTTATTTGAGAAAATGGCATTTAAACAAGATAAAAAGTCGGTGAATACAATTCAAGTAACAATCGGCAAGGAAATTGTCCAGAAGTGTAAGGGAGTCCCTCTTGCCTTAAGGGCTATCGGAAGCCTACTGTACATTAAAGATACAGATGATGAGTGATTGCTTTTTAAAAAGAATGATTTGTCAAAAATAGTTGAAAAAGATGATGCTATTTTTCCAATACTAAAATTCAGTTATGATTACCTTCCTTCAGAGCTGAAGAGATACTTTGCATTCTGTTCCTTATATTTGAAAGATCAAAAAATTGATAAACAAGAATTAATCCAATTGTGGATTGCAGAGGGACTCATTCGGGCTGAAAATCAATCGTTGGAGGAAGTTGGTAATTCATATTTTATGAATTTATTGAGGAGGTCCCTTTTTCAAGATGTGATAATAGATAATTGGGGTGATATAATAAGTTGCAAAATGCATGATTTTGTCCATGACCTTACACTCTCAGTTGGGAGGTCCAGATTTTTCTTGGTGAATTCATATTTAGAAAATGTTACGGAAAGAACTCGGCATGTGTTTGTTGATTACGGTGTTAATTCATCACAAAAAATTTCAACCCAATTGGTTAGAGCTAAAAAGTTACGGACATTCATTGGGAATGGTGGAGAGGTTGGATTTTTTGATAAATTAATTCATTAAGGTACTTTTAAAAGGTTTCGTGTATTGGATTTACATTCGGCAAATATTAAGATTGTGCCGAGTTACGTAAACAAGATGAAACAATTAAGATATCTTGATCTAAGCAGAAATGCACTTATCAAGACTTTGCCAAGTTCAATAACCATGTTACAAAATTTGCAAACCTTAAAACTCAATGGATGCAGGAGTCTTGTAGAATTGCCAAGAGATTTTAAAAGATTGGTGAGCCTTAGACATCTTGAGCTGGACGACTGTAATGACTTGACTAGCATGCCGTATGGATTGGGTGAGTTGACGTCTCTTATGACGTTAACATTGTTTGCAACGGATTCAAAAAGCCGACTGAGTGAATTGCAGAGTCTAAGCAATCTACGGGGAAGGTTAAAAATTGAACTTCGACGTATTAGGGAATCATCTGGCCACAGGTGGTTACCAAAAGCAACAGCACAGGGAATAATTGAGGGGACAAACTACTTGAGTACCAAAGAATACCTTAAGGAGCTGGAATTAAATGGTGGGGAGGAGTTATTGTTGGAAGCCCTACGTCCACACCCAAATTTAAAGAACCTGAATATAAGGGATTACGAGGGAGTGAGTTACCCAAGTTGGATGATGGTTGGCGAAATTGGCTTATCCCTTCCAAATCTAGTCCGAATTCATATGGGGCAATGTAAGGGATATAAACATCTTCCGCCATTTGGGCAACTTCCTTCTCTCCAATTTCTTAGGGTTCAATTCATGGAATCCTTGGAGTACATAGACGACATGCGTACTGGCAATGACTGCCTCTCTTCATCAGCAACATCCTTTCCTTCGCTGAAAGAACTCCGACTCTGGGGGTTGCCTAATTTGAAGGGATGGTGGAGGAGCGAAGCAGAAGAAGGAGCAGCCCAACAGCAGCAGCAACAGCTTCTATCATTCCCAAATCTCGTCACAATTCATATATCCATGTGCCACAGATGGAAACATCTTGCACCATTTGGCCAACTTCCTTCTCTCCAATTTCTTAGGCTTGAAGGCATGGAATCCTTGGAGTACATAGACAACCGTACTGGATACGACTGCCTCTCTTCTACAACATTCTTCCCATCGCTCAAACTACTCGATTTCTCTAAGATGCCTAAATGGAAGGGATGGTGGAGGAGCGAAGCAACAGCAACAGCAACCACAACTACTTCTTCACCAGCCCAACACCAACATCATCAGCTCCCATTATTTCCTTCTCTTTCCAAATTAACCATCATTTCATGCCCTAATCTGGAATCGGTGCCTTTTCTGCAACCATATCTTGAAAACCTAGATCTCTTGATGGTCAGCGAGAAGCTGGTGCAACAACAGTTAATGATGATTTTGTCCCCAACAACACTCGCAACCTCGTCCTCTTCATCTTCTTTGCTTCTTTCTCTTTCCAAATTAAAGTATCTAAATTTATTTGCAATTGAGGATCTAGTTACTCTGCCTGAGGAGTCGTTTCGAAGCCTCACTTCCCTCCAGAAGTTTAAGATTTGTTATTGTGGAAGACTAACCTCTCTGTCAGGAGGACTGCGACATCTCACCGCCCTCCATTCCTTGTCTATCGAGGCCTGCAAAATGCTTGATCTGTTAGATGATGATGACGGCATGCAATTTCAAGGCCTCAAGAACCTGACGGATCTCAAAATCGAAGGTGTTCCGAAGTTGGTATGTCTTCCTGTGGGGCTTCAACATGTTACCACTCTGCAAGAGCTATTTATTGGACAGTGCATCAATTTGACGGCTTTGCCAGAGTGGATAGACCACCTCACATCACTTGAACAATTTTCCATTTCCAACAGCCTCGAATTGACATCACTGCCTGAAGGAATGGGTCGGCTCAATGCGTTACAAAAACTCAAAATTACATTATGCCCTCGAGTTTTACATGGTAGATGCCAGAAAGAAACAGGGGAAGATTAGCCAAAGATTGCTCACATTCCAAATGTTTCTATTACACGATGACAACGACATACAAGGTAAATTCTTTCTGATCTGAATTTTTGTAAAAAACCATATTATTCTCTCTTCTTGTTCGCTGTCAATCTCTTTATTTGGTACACAAGTCTGGAGGAACATTATTTGTATTAGTTTTACAGCCGCCTTCTTTTTCCTATTCGTATTTGTTTAAATCTAAAAGGTGAGACATTTTATTAGCTTTTTTTTTTTTTTTTTTTTTTTTCACTTTTATGAACCACCTTGTGAAAATTTTAGGTTTTCCTACTCTGTTAACTTAAAAATGTAAGGGGAAAAAAAAATATCATCTAAAAAAATGAAAAATGGAACTATCATTTTCTTAATTGTTGTGTAAAATTGTGGAATAGAAATAAAATGATTTGGATAACTGATTCAAGGCAAGGTCTGGCAGTCTTTTCATGAAATGTATAATATGCTTATAAGATATAACAAAACTAGTGTCAGTTTCTAGAGGACATAGTTAATATGCTGAATAGAGTGAAGTTGACCATGCTACAACTCCCTTTTGCAGCTATCAAATAGAGTGAAATTGGAGGATAGGTTATTTGAGGACTCTTCTTTTTCGCTGTTCTAATGATTGAAGTCCCCATTTTATTTCTGGTACATTAACAATATATATATATATATATATATATATATTTGTAAATATATCACACGCACACACCAGAAATTATCTCTTTATGGGACTTTAACTCTCAATGTTCCACTTTAAAAGAAGACAGCATACCACTAGAGCTAAGCTTTTGGTTACTTGTAAATATGTCAGCATCACACAGTATCTGAACTAAGGGCTAGTTTGGTGTGGTTGAATGAAATAAAGTGTAAATGAAATGAATCAAAGAATATAATAGGAATGGAATGACCATTCTCATTCCCATATTTGGTTGCACAGAAAAATATCATATTTTTGTAAAACATATATGTGTGTGTGTGTGTGTGTGTGGCTGACATTTCATCAAATGTTTTTTTATTCATTCATTTATTATTATTATTTTTAAAGTGGGAATGGAATGGTTATTCCTTTAGTTGGAAAGTGGAATGAATTAGTGTGAATCACCATTATCAGAGAATAAGCAAGAATCATCATTCCAACTTTAAAGTTAGTTACCAAACTAAATAATGAAAACAAAAGCATTCCATTCCCACTTCATTTGATTCCATTCACTCACACCAAACATGGCCTAAATATGTCCTCCTCATAGTTATGTTACCCCATCTAATTATTTTTGCATTTGTTTCTTATTTGGTATGCCCTGAATGACTGCTTATGTCTGCAACATCCGGTGCAGTTGTTTAGCTGCTTGGGCAGTTTGCAAAATTGATGGGGTGCCATGTTGTTGGAAGTGCGGGAATTAAAGAAAATGTGAGTCTACGTTGGATATCTTTAAGGTAATACTTCAGTAACATATTTGACAGACTTCATTAACCCTGGGTATTCTCATCCTGCCTTGTACATATTGACAATCTTCATTAGTTCATGTGGGTTTCCTCATCCTATCAAGTATATTATATAGTCATTCAACATTTACAATTGAAAGTTAATTCCAAATGTCATAAATTACCACACTATGACCTCTGTTACAATATTTTATTTTCCCCATTCTAAATTGTCCTTTAATCATTTTCCCTGCAATGATTCAATTTCTTAATTGAATGTCTTTGCCATTGGTTTTTGACATTTCTGAATGAATAATTTCAAAACCGCATATAATCCTGATATTAAATGATGACAATGTCATACACATGGGAAATCATGTCTGATCTGAATTTTGGTAAGACCATAAAATTCCATCTCATTCTTCTCGCTTCTTGTTCATTGTCATTCTCTTTATTTTAGTTCAATTGATTTTTTATTTTTATTTTTTATGGGACTGGTACACAAGTTTATATGGACCATTGCTATAAATTGCAACAACTCAATGTGTTTATGTGTGTGTGTGTGTGTTTTGCTTGTGCAACTTCCATTGATGCAGATATAGAAAGAAGATTGATACTTTTGTATTTATCCTTTTTTACCTTCTCAGGAACTGTCTGGATGTCTACTTTCTGCATGTGTTATATGGGGCATCTTGATGAGCGCATTATTGGATTAGTTTTACAGCCTTCTTCTTCCTATTCGTATTTGTTTTAATCTAAAAGGTGAGACATTTTATTAGCTTTATTTTTATTTTATTTTTCACTAAGAGTCTATGAACCAACTTGTGAAATTTTTATATTTTTCCTACTCTGCTAAGCTTAAAATTTAAGGGAAAAAAATGCCATCTAACAAAATGAAAAGTGGAACTATCATTCTGTTAATTGTGGAAGAGAAACAATTTGATATGGAAAACTGATTCAGGGCAGGGGCAGTACACTTTCCTTGGAACAATGTTCACTCCACTTTTAATGGTACGCATTAGGGGATGACAAACTTGCATATAAGATGTAATGAAACTTGGTCAAATGGATGATTACAAACTGAAGTGTATGTATAGCTTTATATGTTACTTGCTTGGTTCAGATTAAGATCCCTCTTTCGTATTGGTATGAAGTTTCTGCAAATTTCTGCAAATTTACTGGAAGAAACAGGATTAGCACCAGCCAAATGGACGATTACAAAACTGAGTGTATGTATAGCTTCGTATGAAATATATGTTTTAAAGCAAGGGAATGAAATGTGAACTTTTGAGAAATCTGTGTAATGATGTTACTGTTGGAATTTATATGCCCTGGCATAGCAAATTCCTATCTGGATTGTAGTGACATATGTTCCTGACATATCT